AAAACAATGGATAAACATTCTTAGCAAGTTGACTAAGTATCCAGTCACTCTCCTCATTTATACTCATTTCATCAACTGGAGGAGGCCCAACAATTTCCTCAAACACCTGCAAGAAATCGAGCAAAATTTAATCCAGAACATACAACTCACTGCCCATAGGTACAACACATCTACCAAAACAAACCTGCATTCTCTCTGGCAAGTCAACCTCCCTCACATAATCATCTTGCTCAGTCATGTACTTGTCTACAAGAAAAAATGGCTCAAACTCATTAGAATTATCAGGCTTAACAATCAAGGCCAGGGCTTGCTTCCTCTGATTCAGTATCTCATTCACATCGCCAACGAGATAACCAGCTTCCTTTACTGGAGATGAAACAACCACAACTGCCTGCCTCAACTTGTCGTCATTTGAATTCCAGTACCTAAGATTAGTTCACAAGAATAGAGGGATAATTTGCAACCAATTAACACAAGATTAAATAAAAAAGAAAATTATAAAAAAGGGAATTTTACTGCATTTCTGATGATCATGTTGTACCTAAGAGGTGCACTGTTTGCAACAATTTCATCATCATCCACAATAAAAGTAGCCATCTCATCTTCATCATAAGACAGAGCTTCCTCTTTTCCATAAATATCATCAAATAGCAAATCTATAATGTTTAATATGTTATCCAACTTTTTTTCAAGGGGGATTACTAAGTAGAATGTGAAATAAATCTAATCATTTTAATGTAGCAAATTGTGCTCACCATCATAAAAGCTAGAGTGCCCTGAAAACTCAGAATCCTTCCCAGCCTTTTTGAGTCGCTTAAGTGGTTGACTTACCTGAAATTTCAGATAAGTTCAGTTTTGTTGAGGAATTGAAGGTTGCGACTTCCATGTTTCTGCATAACAGTCCTCCACAACAACTCATCCCAGCAAGAACTTGAGAATCAAATGCAGGGAACCAATACTCCTTTTTATGAATATTATAAAAATAATAACACAGTAATAATTCATTATGGTTTGCATGCTAAATAATCAAACAAGCCAACAAATTCCTTCCCATATAACTAAACCACAGATAAAATCAAGCAAAAGGGGTGTAAACACTCACATTCTTGAATTGAACGATGCCCAAGGCTTTGTTTTCCTGAATCAACTGGAGATCATCATCATCAAGAACAATATTCTTCAACGATTTCCTGGGAAGTAAAAAACAATTACTACTTTCATAGAGGGTAAATAAAGATAAGCATTGGATCAAGCTGCTTGCAAATTTAGAAATTATAATTTTACTTCTTTGGCTTCTTCTTTTTATTCTGCCTATCCTCCCGGTCTTGCTCATTTCCCCCTTCCTCCTCCTCCACATCATCCACTATAAACCCATCATCCTCAAATTTATCCAGGTCCTCTGCTCATCCTCACCAACACAGTATTAGCATTAAATTAGAAACACAATTAAGGGAACCATAGTCAAAATAATGTCACCAACAAGACTCAAGGAAACTCTGAATGCAGAATAACTGAATAAGGAACTCAATGGAAAGGCATAACATGGGTATGAAACACAAAAAGAACTACATACAAAAAGAACAGATACTGGGAAAAAGATCATAACTTTCCTCAGTTCTGGTTGAAAGTTGCAGGAGTTGACGGCATTAACGTGATACTGGTACTAAAATTCTCAATGTAAGACAAAAAATAAAAAAGGACGACGGGTTAGCGAGAAGAAAATCTCGCCATTATATCTTTAGAACCATCTGAAAACAAAGAGACGATATGATATCTTCAAAATATCATACGGGAGAACAAAATGAATAGTTTATACAACCGGCGAGAGATCGCCGGAAACTTCAGAGAAATAAAAAGTACTATAATAAGAAAAACCACTTCGAAAAAATAAAACCAATCACGAACACTAGCTTCCTTGAAGAGGAAGAAAGCCGGATGCCGTACACTACACAACATAAGAAAAGAAGAAACAGAAAAAAAAAGGCCTTAAAATGTTGATCCTAGAACTAAAGTTGAGAAAAGGGGAAGTCTTTGGGTTACCGTTGTCGTCTTCGTCTTCGTCGTCGTCGTCGTCGTCATCGTCGTCCACGGCAAAAGTTTCCATCTTTTCACCTTCCAGAGCTCCATCTGTGAAATGCATAAACAAAACCACAAAAAAAGAAAGCAAACAGCTTGAGAAACTAAGCATAACAGTTAACCAGATAAATCATTGGGTGTATGCTGCATTTATATCTGCTACGAACCTTGATCGTCGTCTTCATCGGAAAAGGTGAGCTTCCTCTTTGTCATCCCCGGCGATGCCGAGTTCCGACGACGGTAAACGGCAGAAACGGAGTGCATTTGATTTCCAGAAGAGGGAAAAGAGAGAAGAGAAACAGGTCTTCTGTGGGAAGGAATAGAGCAGAAATAGAAGCAGACGGCACGGATGCTCTAGCTCTTTGGAGTTATTGACGAAAATGGCACTGTTCTTTGATATTCTGAGAATGCGGTGGTGATTGCGCCCAGAGGAAAATGAGCCACGTGGCAAGATCAAGGAGAGTGGCGTATGCTACTGGACATGTATATGATTTATATTATTTTGAGCACCTCAACCTCTTGATTTGCTTGCAAAGTTTTAGCTTTTTTAAAATCAAGCAAATTTGGCTCTTCT